GACACGATCGCCGGGACAAGAGCTTTATTAGCCTGACGTTTCGGATTCCTGCTCGAATGCATCATCAGAGACAACAGCAGATAAGGATGGTTCATGCATATGGGGCTGTAGTATTGATAGGATGCAATAGCCATGCTACCGCATACCTATGAATATTCACGGCTCACCCCTACATCAGGGATCGTTGCACGTGGCGTGATGGTCGCTGAGTCAGACACCACGGTCTCTTCGTCAGCACAATTCCTGGAAAAAATCCAAGGGGTAAGCCTCCATCCAAATGAGGTCATCGTATCTTTTGATGTTACATCCCTTTTTACTTCTATTCCCCAGGATCTGGCGATCGAGACAATCGAGCGGCTTCTACAAAGCAAATACGATGAAACGGAGAATCGTCTAGGACGCGCCTAAGTCCTTTAGCTCCTGAAGTTCTGTCTCAGGACGTACTTCACGTTCGACGGGACAATCTACGAACAGGTGAAGGGCACACCAATGGGTTCGCCGATTTCGGGATTCATCGTCGAAGCGGCCTTGCAACGGTTAGAGTTGCTGGTCTTCCAACAACACAAACCGCATTTCTGGGCCCGATATGTGGATGATACCTTCGCCGTTATCGACCGGGATCAACTGCTGACATTCAAGGAACGTCTGAATGCGGTCTTCCCTGACATACATTTAAGGATGGAGGTGGAATAGAACAACCAGTTGACCTTCCTGGATGTCCTCGTATGCCGCAAAGATTGTAGTGGTCTAAAAACCAAGGTGTGCAGGAAAGCGACAAATAAGATGTAAGTACTGAACCTCAACAGCAACCATCCAATCAGCCACAAACGCAGTTGTGTAAGGACGCTCTATCGGCATGTCGAAATGCACTGCAGTGAGCCGGAAGACAAGAATACCGAATAACAATACCTCCGACGGGTCTTCAAAGCCAATGGCTACCCGCGCAACTTCGTCGACCGGTGCATATGCAAAAGGGACGAAAGGCCTAACCGCACGGACACCAAGTCTTGGCGGGCACTTCCATATGTCAAGAACGTTTCGGAAGCTGTTGGCCGCCTTATCGCACCACTTGGGATTGGAGTTGTACACAGACCGGAGACAACCATCAGGCGTCAGTTAATGAAACCGAAAGACCCACTGCCACAGCAAGAAAAGTCTGGAGTGGTTTGTCGGATCTGGTGCAGTTGCGGACAAAGCAACTACGTCGGAGAAACCGGAAGACAACTCAAAACGCGACTGGCCGAACACGCTGCAGCAGTGCGGAGAAATGACGCTAGCTATCAATTTGCGGCTAACTCGACGGGCTCTGGCCGCACATTCAAATTTGACGCGGCCGAAATTCCCGCAAGAGGTGACAACCGCGTGAGCCGGGAGCTGCTTGAGTTATGGTTTACCGGTACCCAGTCCATTAACAACTGCAATGATCTTCCCGTTCAATACTCCGTACTGAAACTCCGTTTAGGCGGCGTAATTGGTCACGCGGGGAACGCACTGGTGAACACGTCCGAACACCCCGGTCAGCGCGTCAGATGATCGACCAATCATCACGCCAACATCCAACGCACGTGATGAAATTGCAGCAATTAACGACGTGAACGTCGGCCATCACGCCACGTGCAACGATCCCTGATGAAGGAGAGGGAGCCGTGAATATTCATAGGTATGCGGTAGCATGGCTACTGCATCCTGTAAATACTGCAGCCGCATATGCATGATCCACCCTTATCTGCTTATGTCTCTGATGATGGATTGGAACAGGGATCCGAAACGTCAGGCTAATAAAGCTCTTGTCCCGGCGATCGTGTCTTCTTCTTCTTCTTCTTCTTCTTCTTCAAGAAATTGGTGAGTCCATCATGCTCAAAACGCAACTGCCAGAAGTAACTATCACGAATTCTCTTCCATCGCCGTCAACCCTTCCGCATTTTGGCCGACTTCCTACGATGGGAAGGGGTGCTAATAGAAGTGGAGATATGTAATCAAGAAGGCATATGAAGAAAAATTTTGATAAGCGGAAGAAGAAGAAGAGGGAGAGAATAAAAAGAAGAGGAAGAATATAGGATTGCTTTAAACAAGAATTTTATCGTCCTGGCGTTTAGGATTCGCATTCAAACTTAGCAGCAAGGACAGTCATAGATAGCGTGATGAGCGCAGAGTAAGTGCCGTTTTTGCTGTACGCAGTAACCATGCAACCGCATGTCTTCTTTAATGAACAGTAGTCGCATTTTCTGTGATTAGAGGTTGTTAGTCGCGTCTGAGTGGTTGGTTGTCCTACTTTCATCGGTTTTGTTGATCCGTGTTCTCATGATTACTTAATAGTTTGACTCGGGAGTGCTATTGTTAAAGGTGGTGGTTACTTGCGCTCTCCCCACGCGTCGATACTGAATTAGGCGGCGAGATGCCTGTACGCTTGCCAGTAAACTTCGGGCCATAGAATCGTGACTTACGCAGCTTGTGATTCACGCAGTTTTCACATGTAAGAATTTCAGCTTCGTTTGGGTAACTTCGATTAAGCCTCGATATGAAAGCTACTTCCCTTTTCATGCACTGTCGCTGAATGTTCGGTCATCCGTTCCGCCGTTATGCGTTTACCGGAATCTTGATCCTAAGCGAAATAGCTGTCACAAAAATCTCAACCGATCGACTACAGGTGGCGATCCCGACGCAACCTTGCTGAGCATTCTCTCCGCAATATTCACCACGAAGGTGCGCTCCCCAATTGCCGCAATCTCCCTTTATCGAGCATCTGCATGTTTCACCCACCCCTGGGTCAGGGTCACACAATTTCAAGCGCGGAGTTTGCGCAGTGGGAAAACCACACTGCCCCAAGACGTCGAATCTTTATTCACTAATATCCCTCCTACTGAAAATGAAAGATTTTTATGTGACAAGATTATAGAGCTGGATTCTTCAGTCACAATACCAGGCGGATACCTGAAGGAATTGCTCTTTTGCTGCACTCTAAATGTCCAGTTCAGATTCGATGGCCACTTTTACCGCCAGATCTACGGCGTAGCGATGGGATCATCCCTTGGACCGCTACCAGCTGATATCTTCATGGGCAAACTGGAGGAAGCCCAGCTCTGTCCAATGATAAATGCCATTTATTCCTATCTACCATATGTTGATGTTTAACTTGAACACTCTGCGACATAAAGTATGTCAAGCTCCCCAACTTAAACTTTGCCCTCGGAAACTGAGAACGGAGAGTGTCTTCTTCTTCTGAATGTCTTACGTAATCGAATGTTTGATGGAACAAGAAAATATGAACATGGTGATATACACATTTCTACAGTTTTGTTCCACTAGGTTAAAAATGAAGCTCGGTCTGCTGCCTCACCAACCGAGCTGGGAGAATATGCGCTCCAAATAGGCTTGTGACTGAGCTCGCTTTTCTAGGCAACACAAGAAGAAAACATGGATACGCAGAGAAATTTATCAACAAATATACAAGATAACGCCCTCGAAAATCTGATATTCTGACGGCAGAGAAGGAGGAATTGTTTCCCACACTGCCAGTTCGAAGCGCTTTGGCGTGCGAACTCCTACATTGTCGCTTAAACACTGTTATTTCGCGGACGTAACTAGCCTTTAAGATAAGACTGGCTTTCACAAGCACCCCGCTTCTTCGCCTTGAAGGTAAGAGTAGATTGCCTTTTCAGACCTCTTCCATGTACATTTACGCCTTCACTCGCTCCAGTGGGGCAGGTTATTTCGGTCAAACAACTAGGCATCCCTCCAAGTAGATGCGGAACATCATCCTGTCTAGCTTAATCAAGGTGGGGAAAAGCACATCCTTTTGCGCAATTGTGGCTCACTTGGTTGAGAGCGGCGAGACGTTCCAAGTTCCTGCGTCAGCGAATAGGTGCGACAACAGAGGAAGTGGAGATACGGTTAGCTAACCTAGCCTTGTGCTGGCATAAAGCGTTTTTACAGACGCTAAGGCTTCTCTGGTCAAGGACAAATATAGCCTACACATTCACACCCGCCACGTCGCATCACGGGATGGAAAACGGACAGCTAATCGCCAGACACCTTCCCCTCCCCTCCCCCTCTCTAAGCCCCAGACAGATCTGAAATCTGACCACCGACCTCTGAACGCCCCTCAACCATCTCCAATATACTTACTTTTATTGGGTATTTAATTTTAGCTATTCTGGCCCCACTTATATTACTGTAGTGGCCTGATGATGAAAAATCGAAAGCGTATGTTTGCCGGACATGACTTCTTGGATGTTTATATGTGTATTCTCGATGACAGTTTTAGGTACAACCCGATGTCAGTACGTCTTTTGATTTTGTAATGGGGAGGGCAAACGTAACTTCGGAAAATTATCAGGTAATATCTGCAAACGTTAAGTGGCTTTTTTCACGAGCAACCAAACAGTAACAGTACCTGAGGGGAACTTGGCGTTCACTGCACGCGAGTTCTGATTTATTAAAGGCTCAATGGGATTTCAATATGGCCGACTGAGAGCCTCTGGTGTGGAAGGAGAGGGTTAGGCTCCATCGTGATTGAGCACATCTTTTTTTCTCTTGGTTAAAGGCGCCCGGCCTCCAAGGACATCTGTATCATGAAGTTGCGCAATTTAATTTCCTTGCCCTCTTAACCAGCGGTTCAAGTTCATGTATTTCTTCAAAGATAACTTGTTCATTCTCTTCACCCTAGTCTACTACACAAATGGTTTTTGCCGAGTATCAAGATAAGAGTTCACCAGCAACAAGTAGGCACAGAGCGTATCACTCATAAGTGGGAGGCCTAATGTATGACTTCCAGAATTTCTTATTTATAACTTCTTTACAAACCTGCACTACGTTGAACACTTTTATCCCTTTTAATTGGTATAGCTAAGGGTCTCTTCGTGCCAGACTTTTGCACGAAAATTAGTGTGTTGACGAGTTGCTTGCAGAGGCAGCCAATGGGGTGGTAGTATGCGTTTTAGGCGTTTCAAACTCCTAAAATAAATAAAGCGTCTACGAAAGCATATCAAGTGATAGTCGTAATGCACATTGGAGTTTTCCTTCATCTCTTGGTAGCCGGTTTCACCTTTTTCGAATTGGGGTACGTTAGTAGTCCATAATTCACGAAAGAGTAACTTTCGCTGAACTATTCCTTCAGTAGGAATGAAAGGAAGCCTCATTTTTAATAGTGATGATTGCTTTACAAGCGGGCATACGATTCTGTAGAAGATATTTGACCTTAAATAGCTTTAAACCATATCCAAAATATGGGTTTTCTGCATTTAATTTTCAAATATTTTTGTCACTCTTTGAACCTTGTATGCCTTCCTTTTTCATGCTTTGTAAACGAGATCTGCCTTGTTACCACTTAGCAACCACCTTGAAAACACTGAGATATCGGTTACTATTCGCAAAGCATGGTCCAGAACAAAGAACAGAGAATTTAGTTGGATGTTGTAGAAAGACATAAGAGTAAATATTTCTACCCATATTTTTTGCGTTTTCGCAAAAATTGCCAGGCTCTCTCCAAAAGCTGTTATTTAAACTGATTTGTGGAAACTATTCCCAATTTTGCGTCAATTCTCTCTGACCCGTGCTACCACACGATGATGTCAAGTACTAGAAGCATTTCATACTGTTTGGTTTTAATTACAATCGTAACCCTCATCACCTTTTAGGGTACCATTCCACTGTGAAACTCAAACCTAGACCGATATTTTACAAAACTGTATTTAAAGAACACGTAAACATGTATTACAGTGACCGTGTAACCGTAACATGAGTCACTTTTAGGTATGGCCAAAGCTTTTGCAACTGGAGTAGACGTATAATCCCAGGTGGAGCGACCGGAAACCTCACTGTGGAAGTGCCCCTATACTATAGTTATCGGGTAAGTTCAGATGTTGGCAAAGTATGCACAAACCCAACACCTGTTTTGAATTCAAAGAGCGCTTTTAGTTAGCTTGTCAGAATATGTTTCGAACAATTAGGGATGAAGTTTTGCCTATGCCTTTTAGAGCGGATACATAAATAATGTGCCGTTCGGAACATATCCATGGGCGAGGGGCTGGTGCACGTACAAACAGGACTATTTTCGGTGTTCCTACGGAGAACGTATGCTCCAGATCTTACTTGAATACTTTTTACGAAGATTTGATATTAATGCAAAAGGTTTTTCAGCATAATTATTTGACCTATTATGAATATAGTACTCCCACCCAAGGACTGGACACGTACCTGTGTTAATCAACCAACTGCGACCATAGGAGCAGCTAAATGGGACTCCCTTTCGTCACCAGTGCATTTAACTGGTTTTTCTGATATATTACTCTTTGGTATACAACAACGTGGTGGGTGAAGATTGACTGAATGCCAGTAAAATGAATTATCGAGTAACAGTTGAATTCTACGTTGACTCTTTAAGCTGACTGATCCTATTTATCGTCTTTCTCTTAAGGTGACGACATATACACAACTATCATTACGCTTCCAAAAGTGGAAACAATTTCATATGTTAGGCTACAGGATAGCCACCCAATCACTCTTCACAGAGCGGGTGATAAATCAGTCCGTACGTTCGATCGATTCTTCCTTTTGACTGCACATTCGAGTCTTCTCATGTATGCGTGCCCGTCAAAAAGACTGCTTCTCTGTACAATTTTCTCAGACTTTTCTCTTTTATAGCTGGCTTCTACGTGAAGAAGAGCGACCGTTTGGACATCTGCTCGCAGTACTACACCATCACTTTGCAGTGGCATTTCAATGGCAATGAATCTGACTTACAAAATGTAAGCTCTGCGGTTGCTGCTGTCTGATATTTTAAATTTGTGACGAAATAACTGTGTTTTACTTTTTCATAGGTTAGTTGCTACACCAACGGAAGGCTCTTTTGCAGTGGACTACAACCCTTTGAACTGAAGCAGTCTGAAAAATGCGGTAATTGCAACATAAACTTTACCAGTTTATCTTGTAATATTTATCGTTCGCTCGGCAAAACTTTGGTAAAAGTAAAGCCTGTGTAGACATCTAAATTAAACCGTTTTGTTGCAGCGTAAGATGTATACTCACTGACGCTCAAAGTCTGTATTTATGAAGTCTCAACATGAATCCCTATGCAAATTCAGCTCTTACTAAGCGACTCTTAGAATGTTTTTTAATTGCTACATTCGGATACTTATTTCCATTTAATGCTAAGTGTTCTAAAACGTTTATTCAAAATTCCCGCTAAAAATTGTACAAACTATGTAACATTTTTCAGGCTTTCGTCCGGTTGCTGGCGGAATACGCATCGGATATGTGTTCTACAAACCACGAAGACGCTTCGGATATTACTACTGCTATGCAGACAAAGACCTAACGAAAGCCCTGACTTACATAGTCGACTGGAATAGTAAGTTTATGGATGTCTTTCTAGTCTGTTTACATAGTTTAAATCAATGCAGGACTTTCTTCATAAGGGCGTACCGTTTTATGTATGTTAAACAAGATTATCTTCCGTCAACTTTATTTATAGGTTTTTTTTACTGATACAGTACGTTAGGTTTCAGATAGTACTTGAAGTGGCGTTGAATAAGTCACGATTTACGGCGCCTTCAGTTCATCAACTAAAGGTAGTTTTGGCAGCGGTATAGAGAAGGACCCCAGTTAACTGTCAGTAGACTACGGATCGCGTCATACGTGATTTATGGCAAAGATGTTTTATAGGTAGGGCAGCATACTAGGCAGTAAGGCGGCAACATGAGAGCAAGCACATAAATTGCCCGGACTTATGTCGAAAGTCTAATCGTACGCTATTGTACGACAACGGAAATGAGAGTAGTAATTAAACAATAAAAGAGAAACAAATTTCGCACAATAACAGATTTAAGATATGAAGTTGTTGGGAAGTAATCGTCGCTGGTAGTGCAATTTCTGCAACGGCCTGTAAATGTTCGCTAAGATAAAGAACCATATGACACGATACACAGTCCACTGACGGTTAAGTGGGGTCCTTCTCTATTCCGTGGCCGCAGTTTTATTGTAAGTTTGTAAAAAACGAAAAATATGATACTCTCCAGACACAATTATTTAGTGGCAAGTGCCTGTGCTGTCTTTTTTACGTAGATCGCCGTTTGGGCCAAACAATAACCCCGTTGCTGAAAAAAATGTGTTTCCGCAAAAACGTCAACGAAGAATATGCTTGATATCAATTTAAAAACATTCTCTAGTAAGGTTCACGGCAAAACCAAGAAAACGACTTAAAATCCTTGGCCGTTATTTCCACTTTTCTCAAAAATACAGGTAGATTTTCCGCCGTAAATCGGGCGCAATTTGTCCTCAAATGAGTGAGATCGTACCAATTTCCTACGGCACAACCGTGCATAGACTGACTGTTATACAGTGTGTGTAGTGGTGTTAATGTTTCTAACACTTACAATAATTCGTTTATCTGTTTATTTCTAGTACATCTCTCCAGTTGTTTTATGTTTCCTCTTTAAAATTATTGTCATATTCTACTTTATTGTAACAAAGAGGGCGTTCAAAGTTTCAACACTTACCTTTTACTCAAATAACCTGAAATTAAAATATGACACCCTGGCGTAACTAAGATACCTTGGGGATATGCAGCATAAAGATCGATACTACAACTTATTGAAGTGTTTCATTCTAATCAGGAAAATATTTCAGAATCCCCTTTAACAGGTTGTGAGACAGACCAAATACTGCAATTTGGAATGCGGATTTACTTAAGTGTCCGACTTCAGATGATCTGCGCGCGCCATTAATGGCCTTCAGTCTCGCAATGGAAAAGTGTTTCTGGATTTTTGTGCGATGAAATTTAAAATGTACAGTGCGTGAACTATCTCATGAAATGTTGGCTGAAATTCTGAAATGCGTTTTCGATTAGGAAGGACTACTTGGTCGCGGTTGTAATACTGATTATTTTGTGGCATATTCTTAAAACATTTTGGACTCGGCAGGATGTCGACTTTAAAATGCACTTCTTTTCAATCTCCTGTAGAAAGCGTGCTCGGTAAAAAAATGACTACTTATTTAGCATGCATTTTTGTTATTGATTTTTGATGGTTTTGGAAATTCAAATATATTTTATAGACACCGCAAACAAAAATATACTTTCTTTTAGTCAATCAATAGAGAATCGCGTTTTCTTTATATTTTATAACTTAAGGAAGGAGTATAATTAGGCTTTAAAAAAGATTCTAATTATGAGACTTCTTAAGACCGCGATATGTCCATTCACATAACATCGTACCTGGCCGTTTACCACTGCTCCTCATGAAATGTTCAACATGGTCCACATCCATTGCAAAACTTTATGGACCCTGTATGATATTCCTTTAATGACATAGAAAAATATGGGATTTTCTTTACGCGGAACGCATGCACCTTGTAGAGTGTAATCACTAAGCGCTAATGCAACGAGTGATCAGGCTTCAAATTTTTCGGCCATTGGAAAACTTTTTTAAAACCTAATTATACTCCTTCCTTAAGTATAAAATATAACAAAGACGTGATTCTCTATTGATTGACTAAAAGAAAGCACAATTTTGTTTGTGGTTTCTATAAACTATATTGGAATTTCCAAGACCATCGAAAATCAATGGGGAAAATGCATGCTACTTAAGTAGTCATTTGTTACCGAGCAAGCTTTCTACAGGAGATTGAAAAGAAGGGCATTTTAAAGCCGACATCCTGCCAAGTCCAAAATGTTATAAGAATGCATGCTACTTAAGTAGTCATTTTTTACCAAGCACGTTTTCTACAGGAGATTGAAAAGAAGTGCATTTAAAAGCCGACATCCTGCCGAGTCCAAAGTGTTATAAGAGTATGCCTTAAGATAATCAGTATTTCAACCGTGACCAAGTAATCCTTCCTAATCGAAAACGCATTTCAGAATTTCAGCCAACATTTCATGCGATAGGTCGCGCAATGTAGTTAATTCATTATCGATGTCGCTCTGATGAGGTTTTTAATCATGCCTACCATTCACGGTCATCAGTCCACATTTCCGTATATATACGCCAGACCATGCATTGGCTCATTGGCGGTATTATTTACTATAATCAATGCCTCCTTTGCAACTATTGTAGATGCCACGAGAACGAGAGACGCATCCGTTTTGGCAAAGTCAATTGGCAATATTCCAAAAGCTTCACCCATAACAACTTCCGGTACAGAACTGATACTGTGTAAGTTAGTGATGAAATACCTTCTTGGGTGGTGTGCTCCTAAAAGCAGTCAAAATCACGAAAAACCGTCACTTAATGGTGAGAAAACGACCGACATCAAATGCATGCTAAAAGATTATGATAGGCTATACATGGACTGTGGAAAACTTTTGAATTTATGGGTGCACACTGACAGAGAATATTAAAATAACGAACGAAAACAATCTTGCCAGAACTGTAGATAATCTTTCAAAGAAAAAATAACACCTGTTTCAGGTATTGATATTTTCGAGAACGTAACCCTTTTTATTATTTGTAAACCCTCCAGGCAAGATTTCGTTGGTCTGGACGTTGCTGATTAGTGCTATGAACTGCGCGCCAACTTAATGTGCCAAGCAACTCAAGTACAACGCAGTGCCTTACAGTGTGGTATTAACCTTCTGCGGAAAACCGGAGATTTACATTTTCAAATACAATGAACCATTTTTTAACAGAAAATATTTTCACATAGAAGATGATGTGAGATTTGCTAGCCATTCGTTTTTCACTGTGAGTTTTGGTACTTTTGTTCTTATTCGTAAAATGTCAATGAAAGGTGAATTTTCGGGCAATAACTTTTAGGTGAACAGTTTTAAAAATAATCTCCCCCCAGACCTTTACGACGCAGTTCTCTGAAAAGAAGCGCATTAGAGCATAAAATATAACTTGCGCATTAATACGAGCCATAATCCCGTTTAGTAATGCATTCAAACAGGTGGGAATTGTTTGAAATGGAAAAGATTTTAAAGGAAGCGTTTACACAATCTGTGTCTTAGTCAATATTGCCCCGAAGCATGCATCATTTAAGGCCACCACGATCCCTTATACACATGAATCTTTAAAAATATGTCTATAGGCGCCAACGTATTGTAGACATTAAGGCAACAGCGTATTCGGTTACGCGAAAAAAAAACAGGTAGCATGGACGTAGGTAACCTTGTGTGGTTGCCGTAATTCTTAATTTTTTATTCTGTTTCTAGCCATATTTCGAAAAAGGCGTTGGTGGCTGCCTGTAAGGCAGATTCTAATCATAGCCGAAAGCAGCCTCAAACTTCTGATTGCCCTCAAGCAATACAGAAGTATTGGGAGGAAGCCATATTCAAAAATCAACCAAAAGTTTGTGAATCGAATTTTACTCTCCCCTTAATCATGCGATTAATGTCATCTTTTAAACGGGTCATTCTTATCCTGCCGACGGACAAGTTTTCCGTCCGATCAATGTTAAACGTACGACAGAAACAGGCTTCGGCATGGGCAATTTGATTTTTACAAGCAGAGAATTAAGGTTCCGTAATTTTAGGACGCCTCAAGCAGCACTGGCGCTTAAAATGTGAATGGCAAATAAGAAAAGAGCTCGACTGGGTCTTCGGGAGAAACATTTAGAAGCGACATAAGGTAACAAAAACATATTCGACGGTCTACCTTAATTTCCTCGTAGTTTCGGATAAATGGACGCAGTGGTCAGTCTCCGTTTAACGTGCTTCTCTGAATTAAATTATTCGGAATTAGAAATGAAATACGTCTGCATCTAACCCGAGGCTGTTACACGGTAATTTAAATTGTCTTAAATTTCATCACTACATATCCGTATGTGTACAGCTTTGTTAGCAAGTTTGCAAAATATGGCATCTCCCGCGTTCTGGTGTTACTTACCCACTCATGCGTCATGTTATCTCTGTCCACTTGTGCTAATGTGCTTTCGCTCTTTGGTATCGCACCCAAAGACCACCGTATTGTTAATGACCAAATAATCCAGTATGCTACTTCGCTATCCAGAAGAGATTACTTGCGAATGGGAGGCTGCTTCGTTTAATCTACTCTAGGAGATATTCAAAACTGGTCGGCAGTTAAACGGCTCTCTGGGTAACAATCGGGAGTTGGCACCCAAGAAAATCCGTTACCTAGAAATAATACGTTTAACAGTGCACTTAAACGCCTTCAGGCTATATCAGCGGTTGCAGGCGTTCTTTCACGCACTACTTGGACTTTCAGCGACGGCCCAGCATGGGCTCGTCGAACCAACATTGCAGAAGGTTGCATGGAAGATGGTCGCTGTTACCCAACCATCCTCATCGGTACACACGTACACCTGAATATACGGCATACATTCGCAATATGGCAGCTTACTACATAACAAAAACACTTTTAAATAGAATAAGTCTGCACAACAGGGGACAGGAACAGTTTCCAGGTATCTGTCAAACACATGGCATTGAGGTCAAACCAAAGACGATACTGTACTTCGTCTACGTGAGCCCACACAGCTCGACCACATACAGGGCCTCCCTCGGGGAGTTTCCTATTCAGTCTACTCCAGTATGCCTCAATGACATTGGTGTGCCGTCCGGTGGTAGGGTCCTTGAAGTTCTTTGGGTGATTAACAGATAAATGTAGATAACCATCTGAGGGAAGATGATTATCCGTCATCCACTCGTCCGTTACCATTATACTGCCTTTGACGACCCATTTTGTAATAACGGAACGGAGAGCGGGCCAACTTCGATCATTCACTTGTTCAAATAAGGCATTCCGTCGGCTAGTATCGCACATCCCGACCAGCAACCACCCATAAAACCCCTATTACCACCTGTCCCGTAAGACAGGCTGCTTTGGTTGGGCGGGATTTTTTGGGTGCCATCTCCAATTGTTACCGCTCTCTGTGTTAGTTTCTGTGGACTGGGATACAATCAACTTAGCAAAGTGGCATTGTTAGCAAGAAGCCGATGACCGAAGTCCACCAGCTTGTGTGTGGAACTTGCATTCGAGATTGGGCTTGCGACATTTTCTGTGCTCGAATATCCATTTCACATTGACGTGCATGTGATGCAACCAAGCTCTTTTATCTCAGGGGCAAGTAATTTAGACTTAAAACAGGCGAAAGCAAACTCACAGTGTTTTCGATAAAAAGCGTTCCCTCTCTGGGTTTAGATTTTATCCAGACTTATTCATGCTTGCTAGAGTTGGACTGTATAAATAAGTGTTTTGTGAATGCATATAACTTACTTATACAATTCGCAAACAAATGTCAGTTCCACCAGTGGGGGGTCGGATTCACAACATAATATGCGTAAACTTGTAATTCTATTATTCAGATTAGAGAGTGGGTTTCCATTGCAGAATGACCCGTTGACTCGGTCGTCCCTTTGACCATCAGTTAACGTATAGACGAATTAAATGATCCGCAAATACGTTAGGTTAAAATATTATGTCCAGATTAGAGATGTTCATTCTATAGGTATTATTTATTTTGTTTTTCTGCATATACGCGTTAGTAGAACGTTTGCGACAAAGTGCAGAATGCGATCTTATCGACAATATTCCACATTTCCCAATTAACTCAAGTATTTGATAAGAAACAACAGTTTAGCGTAACACGTAAGGTCACGCGGATATTCTAAAGTCGCAAAACGAATTCGGTCACTAGAGTGTTAAGGAAACCTTAAGGTGAAATCCACTGTGAGTGACTATGAACCAATGACCACGTGCACAAGATAGTTCTCCCCTTCGATTCTCTTAAGTCGTTCATTGAAAAATGTCTACGTTTAAAACCTTTTTTTCATTTTTAGTAGGAGAAATTGTGGTTGCTATACGTACAGTCACTCTGTGTGCAGCGAACAATTTGCAGTTAATGAAAGCGAGATTTTATAGTTTTCGGTTATGGGAGCCTAAATTAGTGAAAAAAAGCAGTGCATGTTTTGTCAATCCATAAAAAATTTCACCAACTTTGTATTTATCTCCAGTCCCATGCCACAACGTAAACTTCGACGAGTAATATGAAATAAACCACCTGTTGCATCAGAGTTCAAAATATGCGTGCACATGGTGTTCAAACGAGAATTCGTCTGTATTTACCACTTCATTATAAAAAAACCTCATGACAAAATGTGACATGGTCCTTTTTGTGCTAGTCTCCAGACATGTTGCTGGCGATGAAGACAATTAATGGAGCAGAGTCTTCTCGAATAGATATGGCAGACCTATCTATAATTTCAATGAAAATCATTCTCCATTTTAAGCTCATATTCGTCGCTATACGGTTCGTACGGTCCTGTCTACTATCGTGTGTCTTCATTCCAAAGTCTCCGCCATGTTCACCTAAGTAGCAAAATGCTGAGACCTCCCACTGAGGTGGTATTGAAAATGCAAAATCTGCGTCGGTAAGACTTGCAGATATTCTAAAGGCAGATCAAAGGATGCAAAAGATTGCCACGAAGTATGCGCACTCTGATAAATACAGGGTTCATATTCTGACTGTGTCCACTTACTTAGGAGGGATCACGGAGGCTTCATTTTCCATAAGAATGTGTGCACAAACTTCTTGCTGAAATATGCATTATGTAAACAGATCGGCAGTCTAGAATTAACGCCGCCAGTGACAAAAGAGGCCGGCTAACAATTACGGGAGTAGAAGGCTTTAGAATGGCTATTACGTACCCATTAGCCGTCATCAGTCATTCACATCCGAACCCGAAGGGTGGAACACATCGGGCTTGATCACATGAGCTGTTTTTCAGAAGTCCAAAGCCTCAAACCACTGAGTCAATCGCTTGTTATTATCTTAGTTGCGACCGGGGATACATAACAGTAGGTAGTCGCTAACCGATCGCTTTTACGGAACTCACCCGTCCCGCTGTGCCTTAGGGCTCTCTCTCGATCCCCACCAGCAGTCACACAGCGGTACATGATATAGGCAGATTACCATTACTTAAAAGGACAAGGGGGACTGGAATGGCCATTTCTGGCTTATTAGCCGTCGTCAGCCAGTCATACTCAAAACAGGACGAGTGAGGTTCGCAAAAACGATCGGTGAACGTTCTTCTCCTACAGTGGTATGATACTTTCCGGAAATATTATTTGAGCCCGAGAAAAAAGTCAGTAGAGTGCAAACAAATTAATAAAGTACGCGACATTCTTCAGTTATGTTTGTCAACAACGAGCACTGCCCAGTCATGAGTTATCAATCTTGTTTGTGGCACTAAGTAACATTTCCAGCACCCCTCGTGTGCTTATTAGTACCGCAGCCAACAGAAGGAGTCTTTGAACAATGCCAACATCAGATACACTGATCCTCATGATGGCTCTGAAATGTATACTTACAGAATTTGTATCTTTAGATGTGTACGCTATTTATCAGACTCTTTGAATCAGTGTTTATGTTGGTTCCTTTCGAGTTCAGTTCGATTTCGTTTTCTTTGGACTCCACAGTACCAGTAAAGGTGATTATTTACAATTCACATCCAGAGGCAAAATCATATTTTAAACGCCATCTTCCGAACAGCCGAAGACATTATTATTCGACCCACATTTAATGCCTGACCTCAAATCCAGGGGTAACATAAGAAATGATT